CCGCCCGCCCGCCCCTGCCGCCGGGCCCGGACTCGCACGAGGCTCCGCGGGCAAAGGAGGGCCAGGAGGACTCGGCTCCCAAGGCCGAATTTCTCACTGCAAATGACCTGGACCTGCCGCCTCCGGACTACCCCTGTGCAGACGAGGACTGGAAGGAGGCCAGCAACCTGAGCAGGCTGAAACACGAGCTCGTGGCCCTCCTGTCCTCTTCCAAGCGGGAGGAGCGGCAGGTGGATAGACCAGTCATTCCCCGGCCCGTCAACGGCGTTGCCCATCGTGCTGGCGGTGACGGGATCAGCTCCGATGGGCTCCAGCTCACTAAACCTGTTGGGAAGGACTCGTGGTTGCCCAAGGGCGGGGAACGGGAGACGAGAGCGAAGATCCCTGTCAGTGCAGCCGCTGCCAGGGAGAGCTCCTCCGGCGCCATTCCTCCTGCTCCGCAGAGCAACGCCGCCAGCTCGCAGCCCAGCAGCGTGATGAGGATCAGGAACGAGCTGGAGGCCATGCTGTCCCTGAAGAAAGAAGGAAAACCTTCCCTGGGGCTGGGCAGCCCCAAGCAGAGTCCAGAGGATGGTGGTGCCTCCCTACGTCCAGGTCCGGGACGCACTGATCCAGCTGGCCCCATGCTGCCCAAACCTGCTCCAGGTCGGCCCCAACCTGTAGCTGCGGCCGTGGAGGAGGAGAAGGTGCAGGAGGATCAGCCGGTGCCTGGTGCCGCTGCCGTCAGGGAGGCTTTGGAGGATGTAGACTCAGTTCCCAAGCAGGCATCCTCAAGCAGCAGCCTGAGCGCCCCAGAGCAGCCCAAGAAACCCAAGGATGAGCTCCCGGTCTCGGCCTCTCCTTCGCCCTCCTCTTCAGAGAGGTTTTCACCCGTGCAAAGCCCAGCTCCGCAGCCCGACGCGTTGCTGCTCCAGTACAAACCCCACCGGGCCAGGGCCGACTCCACAGACCAACTGAGTGCCGCGAGCCCGGGCGAGAACGGCGATGGGAGAGCTGTGGATCCGCGTCCCGCCGAGAGCGCGCCGGGCTCCTTGGAGCCACCGGGCCCCACGGAAGCGGGCCGGGACGACGTGCTCATCCACCCCGTCACGGGCGAGAGGGTGGAGAGGGGCTCCCCCATGGCCCTGCTCCTGGCCGCCAAGCAGCGGGCGCAGAG